CAGCTCAAGAAGACAAAGTCAATTATTATAATGAAACATGCAAAGATCTGAAGTTAGAAAACCAAAAGGGAAGAACACACTTGGCATTTCTCAAGCTGAAAGAACTGAAGAAAAAGTTCAAGCCTTGAGTTACAATATTGAAAGATTCTATGGGCACAAACAACACCTCCAATTAATTGTATAATACAAAAAAAAAAAAAGCAGTCTTGTTGGCAATTTCAGGCCAATTAGTTGATGTTTTAGGCAGAGTGGGTCATTTGGCCTTCTCTTTCCACAAAGTGAAGTTGGGTAGACAGACAGACAGACAGACAGACAGATTTAGCTTCAGGACAACTAGCTTCTCAATAGATCTATCTATCTATCTATCTATCTATCTAGAAGCTCATCTTGAGGCCAGATCTTAAATCCAAAGATGTTAGGTATTGATATCCAAAAGGAAGGGACATGAATATATCCCAAAGCTCACTATCAAGTAAGGGAAAGGATGGAATGAAAATATAAATGTATTGTGAATTAACTTACACTATTCTTCATTTTATACATTCCTCTGTTTGGCAATCCTTCTACAGCTGTCTTTAGATCATACTGGTGCAACAGTTCAATGAGGAAGCATATATGAGAGTGAAGGAATGGCTAAAACTCAGTATGAATTCAAATATTGACAGTATAGTTATTTTGCTGATGGCTGTTTATAAAAAACAACCAGATAACAAATGACAATATCTTACCATTCATTACTTGGTATCATGAAGAGAATAAAAATATACACTATAGTTTTTTAAAACCTTAGTTGCTTTTCTATTTAAGTTTCAATTTTTTTCCTCCCCAGTATAAAATTTTAGCATGTTTGACACATATGTCATTTTCAGATAGACTTGTCTCTCTAACTTTTGGCATAGTTTATTAAGGGCTTTTGTTAGATGCTGTGGTGGTTATGTTTGTATGTCAACTTGGCTGGGCCTGGTTGAGCGGCTGGGCAGCTGGTGGTAATTATTCCTCATGATGAGACTGGCAATCAATTCCATGGTGGGATCTACCACAAGCACCTGAGTAGCCTTTGGGACATGGTCTGCTTCCTGTATATAAGGAGAAGCCTTGGGAATGGTCTCTAGCCTATGGCAGGCTTGGACCCTGCATGTAGCCGCGTCATTATTCAGCAGCCTGTGTGCTCTGCCAACCTTGGGACTTACAATGGACTTGAGTTAATGGCCTGCTGTGTGGTTTGATAACATCAGGACTGTGCCTTTTTACTTGTCAACCTTGGGCTTGGCACCCTTAGCAGCCAGCAGCTGTCTGAGTGAAGAAAAGCCTCTAGCTTCAGTGGGCCAGGAGGTGGAGGTAGAGCTGAAGCCCAAGGCTGAGGGGCTTTCACCCAGCCCATAGAGCCTGGCACTTTGAACTTGGACTTAAAGCCTCCAAATTGTAAGAATAAATTCATGTTTGTTAAGGCCATCCCATTTATGGTATATTTCTTTTCAGAGCAGCACTAGATAACCAGAACAGATGCTGTATGAGGTGGTAGGTCCAAAGACAAATATGCCACCTGCCCTTAAGCATCTTATAGCTAAACTAGGAGAAAGGTAAGTAACTGGATACTGTATTAGGTTGTGATGGATTCAAGAATGGAAAGTATATGAAGTTGGTCCAGTCTATTTGCTGTCAAGTCAATTCTGACTTATAGCAACTCTATCTATGTGTGTCAGAGTAGAGCCTATAATGCCAGAATTCTGTGCCAAAGTTTTTCCCCTGTAGGATTATGTAATGTCTAATATTAAATTTGATTCTTAACATGGTTAACTTATTGAAGTGTATTAGATTTTCCAGATGAGACTTTATCTAGTGTGACTGTACCTTTGATTGTCTCTTCTATATCCCTGTGCAGCATTTATTGATCATATTGTGCTATAATTATGTTTAAAACTTACTGACCTTCCCCAACGTAACCAGACTTTCAGCTTCTTGAGGGCAGAGATCTTGTGTTATTCAAACATTTATCTTTATTGCCTAGAACTGTACCTAGATTGTGTTAAGTTCCCAGTAAAAGTTTAAAGTTTAAGTCCTTTTTATGCTTCAAAATTAAAAAATGAAAAGAGTGGATTGCATTTTATGGAGGAAGTAGAGAGATAGATGAGAATCGTGGTTAATATTAACATTTCTTCCATATTCAGCTAAAATTCTACCATAGGTATAAAATATAGAAAAATACCAGAGTCAGAAGCTCTCTCTGCCAAAACCATGTTTTTGCCAGCATAGCTGACAAAAACAAACATACTCTCTGTTCAAGGGCAAGTTTCAGAATCTCTGCTGACATCTGTTTTGGTCTTTTCTTCCTTCCCCGTCTTTTTAATGCTCCTTTGCTTTCTTCACAGAAGAAAATGTGGAAACAGCCTAAATGTCCATCATCAGATAAATGATTGAACAAATGTGGTAGTACATACAATGGAATACAATTCAGCCAGTAAGAGAAATTAAGTCTTGATACAGGCTACAATATATATGGAGCTTGAAGACATTATGCTGAGAGACAAAGGTCAATCATAAAAGGACAGATATTGTGTAATCCCACTTAAGTGAAACATCTAGAATTTGGCAAATGTGTAAAGACCAATGTTTACTAATGGTTACTAGGTGCAAGACAGAGGGGAAAGGAAGAGTCATTACTTAGGGGGAACTGAGTTTCTGTTAAAGGTGATGGAAAAATTTGAAAACATATAGTAGCAATGACTAGACCACGTGATGAATGCAATTGATATCACTGAATTGCACATGTGAAAACTGTTGAAATGGCAAATGTTTTGTTAAATGTACTTTCACCACAATAAAAAATTAACTAATTTTATTTAAATACTCAATTACTTTATCTTTTGGCTATTGTAAATAGTGCTGCGATGAACATGGTTGTGCGTATATCTGTTCTTGTCATGGTTCTCACTTCTTTAGGGTATATACCTTGTGATGGAATGGCTGGGTCAAATGGTATTTCTAATTCCAACTTTTGAAGGAATCGTCATACTGCTTTCCACAATGGTTGTACCATTTTACAGTCCCACCAGCAGTATATGAGAGTCCCAATCTCTCCACATCCTCGCCAGCATTTGTTATTTTCTGTCTTGTTGAACTTTGCTACTAGTGCTGGAGCAAGATGGTATCTCATTGTTGTTTTGATTTGCATCTCTCTAATAGCTAATGATCGTGAGCATTTCTTCGTATGTTTTTTGGCCGTTTGAATATCGTCCTTGGTGAAGTGTAAATACTCAATTACTTTAAAGACCTTTGTGAGTTTGTTTTTGTTTTTTCCTTTTTCCAAAGTCATAATCTCATTGTGCAGGTGATCCCCGAATGACAATCTATATTATTGTTAAAGAAAGTAAAATATTTACTCAGAAGTCAGTCTAAGGTACATTCCTTAACAAGCTTTATCACATATCATGCATTTGGTAATGTTTATAACTGTTTTATAACATTTGAGTTCTACCATTAAAAATCTGCTTTGTATTTGGACTAATAGAAAAACTAAAATTTCTCTTGGTATTTTGAGCATGCTGAAGAAGCTATGTGGGCTGTGGAAGTCTTAAAGGAAGCTGGTAAACCTGTGGCAGCTACCATTTGCATAGGCCCAAAGAGAGACATGAATGATGTAACATCTAGAGAGTGTGCCGTGAAACTGGTGAAGGCAATTAATTTAGATCCATAATATGTGATAAACACCTTAGTTGTTGTTTAGAAACTGAACAAAGTTTTCCTAGTATTGTGAGAGCAATTAAAAAATAAAAGTGTTAACTTAAATCACTGGTGTTATCTGTAAAACTTGGGGGAGGGGAGAGGAATAGCTAATTTCTTAAGCACTTCCTGGAGTCCTTGGGTGGTGCAAACAGTTAATGTTTGGCTGCTGACCAAAAGATTGGTGGTTTTAGTCCACCAAGAGGTGCCTTGGAAGAAAGGCCTGGTGATCTACTTCTGAAAAAGCAGCCATTGAAAAACCAATGGAGCATAGTTCAACGCTGACACACATAGGGTTGCCATGAGTCAGAGTCAACTCCACTGCAACAGGCAAATTACCTTCAGCTGTTGCAAAAAAAAAAAAGGACTAATAAATAAATAAATATAATTTTAAAGTTCTTTATTCCTTTGCATAGGGGCTTCGATTGTTGGTGTGAACTGCCGATTTGGACCCAGAATCAGCTTGAAGATGAAGAAGCTCATGAGGGAAGGCCTTCAAGCTGCAGGACTGAAAGCATACCTAATGGTGCAGTCCCTTGAGTATATTGCACCTGAATCTACAGACTCTTTGGAGAATAGTTTTCGTGAATTGAACAGTAGTAACCAAAGACCAGATAACTTGTGGTGTGACATCAAAGACATTATACATGAAGGAAGCATAAAGTCATTCAAAAGACAGGAAAGAGGGAGTCCTGGTAAGATGTTGGACTAGTTAGAAAGACCTCACAGACCCTCTTCAACAAAGAAAAGGGAAACCAATTAACACAGACACAGAACATAATCCTGGACCCTTGAGCCTTGAAGGGAAAGATATAGAAGTGGACTTAACCCCAACTAGCAGAAGAATTTGCATGAAAACACCAAAAAAAGGAGACAGAGCTGTGGTCTGGCAGTGACCCTGAGCGATCCTGATGGCACAGACAGCTTGGAAAGTGCGAAGTGGTGATAGAACCTAAGAATTTACCTAAAAATCAGCCCTGCTAGCCAGGAACTGCATGGAGGACTGCTCTGGTGGCTGGGGAACAAACAGAGAAGTAACAAAGAGAAAGGCAGGCTGAACTGTGGACTTTTGCCTGTCTGGAGGTGCCGCCATTTTGAATGTTTACAAGAGGCTTGACCATTTTGGATATTTAAAGAGACAGGCTCTCAGAGATTCCAGGGGCTTAAGAACAGGTCCTGCTTGCCATTAACCCCAAGGACCCTCCAGACCTGCATGACTGAAAAGGTGCAACATTCCTCTTATTACTCTTATACCCCACACCCGCTTGGTGAATGGAGGTGTAGCCATCCCCGACTCTCACCCACCTGCTGGGCCCCCAGGAACTCCATCGCAGTCTGAGTGCTGGGACAGAGCCTGGGTGCCCTGCCCTGCCCTCCCGATTTTTTCTCTTTTTTTTTCCTTTTTTCACTTTCTTTTTCTGGTGTTTAGTTTGCTTGTATTTCTATTTCAAAACTACTATTATTATTACTTTTGTCCATTCTACTATTATTCTTCCCCACCCAGGACCTAGTTTTCAGGTATTTTTTCTTTTCCCTGTTCCTGGTTGAAAAAAAATTTTTTTTTTTTACATTAATTTTTCCCCCTTTTTTCTTGAGGTTAACCCCATTCCTTGTTTTTCTTTTTGCATTTTTCCCAGTTTTTTCTTCATTATTCTCCTTCTCTACCTTTTTTCTCTTAATACCCTATCACCAGCTATTGCAGGTTTCTTGATTTTTCTTCTTCCTTTTCCCTTTTTTCTTTTTTTGGTTACAGTTCCTGTGTGATTGCATGGTCTGTTTCTTGTCCATGTGCTTTTAGTTTTTTGATGGTTATTCAATTGTCATTTTTGTCTAACTGAGTGGGAGACAGCAACAGTCCCCATAAGACACAACTACACACAAACCTCTTGCAACTTCACTTACTGACCGAGAGCCACCACCTCCTTCTCCATCAACGGGCCAATGATAAAAAACCAACAAGAAGAGCCTGAAACACGCTTGGTTTCTCTTCACAAAAAGTTTACAGAGATCTAAATACAACGCCAAGATGTCTTGGAGACAACAGACCATCACAGTCCACACAAAGAAGCAGGATAAAGTGGTAGAAACAAGAGAGAAGGATACAGACCTAGAACACATCCCTGAGGAAGAAGCAGCATTGGAAATCTCTGATAAGGAATGCAAAAGAATTGTATTTAGGTATCTTCAAAGGATTGAGAGACAGACCAAAGAAAACACACACACACACACACACAC